TGGAATATATCATTTTAATAGTCCAAATATTGTAGTTTTGGAGTTTATGCTACACATATGCACTTGGACAAATGCCCTTTGTTATAGAATAGATTACCAGACAATAACATTAGGACTGAACAAAGTTCTTATTTTTGCAATTGTTTTAATTATTAGATATTAATTGCAGGTTGTGTAAGCTTTTCTTTTTCAAGGTTAGTATAAATAATAAATATTTCATTTTGAATGTTAGGAAAGACAGAAAAAAAAATCATATGAGAAGCACTATTTGGTTTCAGTCAGAGAAGAAAAAGAAAGCTAGAGGAGGCAGTAATGCTATCATGTTTTTAACTTTTGCTTCGGTAAAATGGAAAAACTTGTCAATTTTAAATATTTTCATTTGTACCCTCTTGCTTTAACTGATGACCTTGTTATTGCAATATTTGGTTAAAGTAAAGTTCAAATATTTAATAATGCACTTGGGGAATTTTGTAGTCTTAGAACTTGTGAGTTTATTTATTCATTAAATATTCAGATACATCCGAAAATTCAAATAGAAAAAACATTTTCACAGATACTGCTAGTTATTGTTGTTATTATTACTATTATTATTAAGTCCAAGTTAATTTAGTTGCTTAATAAAGCTGATTCTAAATTTTTTTTTAAATTAATTGGTACATTGAAAGCAAATATAGTTTCATTAGGTGGAAATATGTAATAATTTTTTTATTTTTATTTTTTTTTTGACATTTTAATGTTCTTTTTAAGTTGTCCTCTCTCACCATTACTATTGTATTATCAGCCAGATCTACCTCTGCTTATGTGGGTCAGAGTGAATCTATCTCGTCTACAGGTCTGTGACAGGCAACAAAACACCCGGCAGGATATGATATCGGATTTTAAATGCCATTGTTTTGCTCATTTGCAAAGGTGTAACACTTGTTACTCTCTTGCACGTCAATTCAAAACATTGAATATTAAAATAAATCTTGGAGAGGAGACAGAAACTGCACTTAGTTGCCATTGAGCAGCTTTTAGTGAGTCATTAAAAGATGTCAGATTGACTTTTACAATGTTTCTCCCTGAATGCATGACGGTTCCTCATGTAGGAATTATTTTAATAAATAGATAAATAGGCAAACTAGAGTAATGACTTCTTTAAAATCTATAGGGAAATAATCAACATTTTTTTTTTTTTTTTTAAATTTTTTAAATTGATAAACTAGAAAAATGCAGGTAATTTCAAATGCATCTTCCATTATAAGAATGTGCACGGTGGTCCGAAAGTCTTGTCACCCCCAGCAAAATAATGAGGACAATAGACGAACAAGTAGTACAACGTATATGTACTGGATTCAGTTTATTCACTTTCATTGACACTGTCACACATCGGGGAAGGTCTGTAGGAGCTCGTGTCAGCCATCTGAAATAGAAAATTATATTTAGTGGATGAGAAGACTTTTGGACCATCCTGTAAATGATATTGTCATATTTTTAAATCCTAATTTCACGTGAATTTTATACATAATGTAATTTATCAATAATCTCATTCACACACAGTCTTGAGTATGATGATAAACTACATCCGGCAACAAGGCCTCTGATTGAAAGATTGAAGGTTTTGAGGAGCCTGGAAACACAATTTACTGTTTTTTCCCCGGTCCACCCTGACTTGGGCTGGTAGCAACTGTTAGGATCCCAGCTTTGGGCAAATAGTGAAACCCAAAGAAAACAACACATTATAAAAGTATAAAAATATTATCTTGTAGTAAAATACCAGCAATATATTTTCATATATATATATATATATATATATATATATATATAAGACCAACAATACATTTTATCTGCTGTTGAAGGCATACAGTTGTGCTTAAAATATATTTATTTGAAGCCATAAAATTATTCTGAAATATTTAGTTTTTCGCATTAAATAACTCTGAGGTTGATATGCCACTAAACGAAATCAACCCTCTCCCACACACACAAAATGTTAAAATTTTCTAAATTAATAGGGAAAGTGTGTTCAGTATTGTAGATAGCATGTTTATAGATATAGACAGTGTGGACATGGGAATCAACACTGCATGGTGACTGTAAGTTTTATGCATCAGCTTGTCCTTCAGACCAAGTGGTTATTTAGGCAGTAAGAATTCATTTAAATTCATTTACCAGTTTTGTTAATTTCAACTAACAAGGTCTATCTAATCTTTTTATTGTATATTTCTAATTTTCTGATAAATTGGGAATAAACTGTCTAAAGTTTGTTTTTGTTCAAGTAATTTCAACTATTTTGTCATTATCAACAACTGGATGGTGTCAGGATGGTGGACAACAGGATAGCAGTTATTTATTTTTCATGAAGACTACAATTCAAATTAAAATATGCACTTATTGTACAAGTGATACATGTTGTAAGAATGTTTTCACAGAGCTTGACTGCACCAGAAAAGAACATAGGAAATATATATATTATTTTTATATGCATATTAAATATTTAATATACCTTTTTAAAATATTATCTCCTGCTAGGACGCAGCCAACAAAATGACAGATGATCAAAGGTACTCTAACAAAAACATTAAATTTGGACAGTTTATCCGCAACTTAATTGAAAAATGCAATAAAAAAATTAAACACTTTGTCAGTTTAAATTAATAAAATTTATATATAATAAGATTAAGTTTGAATTTGAACAGTGTATGAATGTGGATTTTGTTGAACTCTAATTTAATGTATATCTGTGTCAAAATGGCATTTCATGAACCTCAATGAACATGTCATAACGGAGTCATACAGTATTTATAATTAGTAGATTTGCTGTTAAAATTATGCTTATATTTTATTTGAACTACGTCATATTTACATTGTATTACACTTAAGGATAGCGTTGGATACTCTTCTCATATTAGCAGAACAAAATTTTGAAGGTGAATGGTTATCACTCAAACAATTGTAACAATAATTTAAAGGAAAAAAATGGACCTCAACAATATATTATTTTGTAACCTTTTACTTTTAGAATCTTAGCAAACCTTTTAAAAACTGGTGTATTATCAAACTTGTGAACTGATAGTAGTTAGCTATTTGCAGCCAAAATTAATAGTCATCTTGCTTGTTAATTATTTTTGAATTATAGGTTATTTTTTTATCATTTAGGCAAAGGTCATTTTTATAATTTCTTGATTTTTTTTTTTTTTTTTTTTTTTTTTTAATCTGTATATTATTTTTTTATTCTGTCATATTTACATTTTTTTTAGCTAATATTATATCATAATTACTGTTTCCTTATAATGAAACATTCTGTATTCATTGACTGTGACTAGCCAGTGCGACTTGAGTTAATTTTCTTTACTCCCTAGCCTTTGGGCTGGGATCAAAGTGTATCTTTTCTTAACTTTCATGCCAATGGTAATATTATTTGTTTCCTGATAAGGAAACATTCAGCATTAATTGATTGAACAACTAATGCCAGTTGGTTGAAATTTTAAAACAATTTTTCAGGAAAATAGGTTTCTCAAGTCCAATAACTGTTATCACTCTTTCCAGAATTGATGGGAGTTTTCTTCCTAACCTTTTGTTTGAAGTAGTGTGCAATGTCAGTATCTTGATTGTCATTATTTTCTCTTTGAGTGCCATCCATTTTAATTGTTGCTGCTGTTGGAAGTTTTCATGTGATGTGGTTTCTGTTTTGGTACAGTTTTTTTTTTTTTTTTTTTTTTGATTCTGTAGCGTCAGACCACAAGATTTTAAGAAGGATGGTCCTCACTAATACTTACAGGCTTCATTCACTTGAAGCCACCTTTAATCATCAATCTGAGAAAGCGTATGTATATGGCTGGTAGATTAGGTTTTTCGTGTCATGCGTGGGTTGCAGTCAGGTTTGTTACATTCACATATGTGCAAGTACCCTTGGGAAAGGTATAAATCCACCCCCTGGCTATGGATTAAATAGTAGGACTTTTATCTGGAAAAATTGTTATCTTTGAAAATAGTTAATGCAATATTTGATTGAATAAAACAAATTCTTAAAATCCAAAATGTTTTAGCTTTAAATAACCCACAAAAGGTTAAGACAAAAAAAAGAAACAAATGGATCAAATCTATTCTCGATTTGATGAGGCTATTTAAGAACATGACTTGAGTTTTTAGGTTGAAGTTTTGCTATATCTAAAGGATACCCATTCATTGTTAGATTTAATCAACAAAAGTGGTTCTATTTAAAACTAGAACAATCTAGTTGGGCTTGTTTTATTTGCATACTGGATATGTTGAATTGTACATATTAAGTCTGATGGCTACTGGTATAACCTAAATTTCTAATAGTTATAACAAAATGATTTCAGAAAAGCAGATTGTGATGAAGATTATTTAAATATTGCTGATTTTTCTTATTACTTATGAAGCAATGAAGTATAGAAATTTTTTCAATGGTGTGTGTGCATGCATACAGTTGTAAAGAGACACTCCCCACCCCATCTCAAACCAGGTTGTGACATCAGAACAAAACTTTCTCTAGCAAGAACTTCTTGAATACATGTGCAACATTTCTAAATACCAACAATAGTTGAACTCATAAAGTGTGAAGATCATTTTCCTTGTCTATAGATTGTTTTTATGTAGCTTGTTTATATATTTTAAATATGCAACAAATTATGTAGCTCCTATTTTGATAAACTGTGTTACTTAGAACAATAACTTTGCTTCTTATGTAAATGTAAAAACAGTTGGCAATAGTATTGTGTAAGTGACCAATGGCTATATAAAGGCACTGTTGATTATTTATGGCTAATTGGTTTAAATAATGCATTGACTAATGTTTGCATCATGTGGCAATAATTATAAGTAAAATGATGCACTAAAATAAGTAACAAAGTAATTGTTTTAAGTTGTCTGAATATCAGTGCTTTTTAAATGTCCAACTGAAAAGATTATATGAAAAAGTAGATTTTTTTTTTTTTCTCTTCTTGCTGTGCAATATAAACTGTATTGATTTTCTTTTAATAAGTCCTGAAGCTTAAGGCCATATCACATTGAAACACTGATTCTCATATGATCACCAAAGTTAAGCAATGTAGACTCTGGTCAGTACTTAGATGCCTGACTGCTTGAGAATACCAAGTGCTGTATGCTTGTATGTGCAGGTAGTGTAATGGATAACAGCTTAGAATTGGAGAATCCAAGTTCGAATTCCCGTCAAATTATCATCTCCCAAAAATTCTTATCTAAAAATACTTTCTGGCTTTAAATAACCTGCAAAAGGTTGATAAGCTGTAAAAAAAGAAAATCAATTGACTTAATAAATTCTGCATTACATTGGTAAAATTTAATAAAATCTAAATTCCAATTTTCTGTTTTTGTTTCCTAAGAAGAGTTGTAGACCTTGAAAGAATGTAAGATGGCATAAAATGAGTAAATATCTTCTTTTTTTTCTCGCTCTCTTTTTCCTTTTTTTTTTTTATCTAATTTGACATTATGCTGGTTTTCGCTTTACACTTCAAAGATAAGCACCTGCACCAGAGGGCTTTTCTTTTTCCAAGTTAATAAACCAATTAAAATAAATAAAAGGTGTCTGTCTTTTCTTGTTGGCCAGTAGATCATTTGGATAACTGAAGTTATTTCACTTTAAATACACATCAATCCATTTAGAGATATTTAGCTCAGTAATGCTGCAGTATTAAGTTAACAAGTACTTCAAATTTCTAACATTAAAATTAAAAACTTGAATTTCTTTTTTTTTTTTTTTTTTTTTAAATACTTAAAAACAACTTGACAAAATCAATTTGTCCTTTGTTCCTTCAAAACTTCTAATTTTAGATTTCATAGGCAATGTAAATGTTTTTTGTTTTTCTCAATATCATGTGAGAAGAAAAATATAAAATTAATTCAAAGATGACTTTCATGCAGTCACTCCAAATGATTTTGAAAGATTTCAGACTTGTTTTTATTAGTTCTTTTCTCTATATTCTGATTAGTGAAAGGGTAAAGTTCACACAAGTTTTAAGGTTCAAAGGATTCAGTTGATATATAGGCAACACTTTTTTGTAAGGTTAAAAGGCGTCAGTTGAAAATATTGTTAATACACGAAATCTAATCAAAAAGTATTGGGATTGGTGTTATAAAAAGAAAACTATAAAACATAACAATTTGGCATTTAATCTCCTTCGAAGTAGTCTCCTTCTGAAGCTGCACACTTTATCCAGTTTTGTAAGTCTTGGTAAGAGAGACTTGAAGTGAATCCAAATGTCACTCAGGTACAAACTGCTAGAATCACTGACCAAGTAACTATTTATAGGAAGAAGGGAAGAACATTAACTCATGTGATATTTAAATAGTTTAAAACATTCTTCCCTATGGTGGTTGTCAGATCTGAGGAATGTTGTTTTTTTTTTTACCAAAAACAGCTGCATAAGCCATGGTCACTAATGGAACCTCTGTGGTGCGGTCAGATGACCACACTCTACACACTTTTGTTTCAAGCACGACTATAAACAACGCAACTTAGCAAAACCATTATAACTTAGTGTGTATACATGACAGTTCAAGTTCAATCTGTGCTGAGTGATTTCACTCTCTGTACTTTAGCCCTATTACCATACCAACAGTCTCAATATTTTGGGATGAGACCTTGTATAGGCAACACCTTTGTGTAAGGTTCAAAGGGGTTACTTGAAGATAATATATAAGCAACACCTTCGTGATACATGCATATCATATAATCACTGAGATGAGAAATTGATATCATCTATAGTTGTGTGAATTAGTCTATCATTTAAATACTTTTAATGTTATTAAAACTCAAAACTAGTCATTCCTCAAGTTACAAACAGCTACTTCAGATAATCTGGTTGTAAAAATGATAGACATTTTGTGTTTATTATACTAAGTGTTTTGTGTTTTTCATACATTGAATGTTTCAGTTTACTCCAGATTAAATGTACAAATAATATAGTTGGATTACAGATCAGTATGTGACCAGGTTCTAAAATAAGGGATATATCAACAGATCTTTATCAATACTGTATATTTCGGTGTTAACACGGGCCAATATCTAAGCACCACCAATATGTCATGTCTAAGATGTATGGCAATCCTTCAAAATGGCCATCAAGTGTTGACAATCTGCCCCCACCACCTCAAACCACTTTAATTCTGCATCAGTATTGGAATCTTTTATCACATTAAACATATTGTTGCAGATTTTGCAAGTAGATGTTCAGCTTTGGAAAAAATGTTTTAGCTTTTGGTGGACAAGAATTCTTGTAATTCTAGGTCCTGATGATTTGCTAATTAAATAATTTTAATTTCTGGAATATTTTATTTATTTTTTATTTTATTTCAACCTCTCCCTAAAATAATATGATCACTCTAATACATATAAAAGGGAAGTGGGGGGGAAAAAACCCCCAAAACCCTGAACATTCCACCTACATACAACTTTAGATTGATTATGGAAACAAACAGAATCCTTGAAAATAGAAGATTTTACATTTAAAGTCCTTGAATATATTTACAAAGTCTTTTGTAGTGCCACAAAGCGAGACTCAGACTCACTCACAATAACTTGTCAGAGTTACTTGTTAATCATTGCTCTGTCACATACCTAAATTCTGTTTTAATCCGATTCTCTCTGAAAATCAAACGTCCTTAATTCTCAATCCTATGTATTACAACTTTCTGGTTTAGTGTATTTTTAGAGCAGGTATTAATTGAAGTAGTTTTATTTATTAATTAAGGATAAGTTGTAATTTGAAACTTCTGTCATTATGATGATTTTTTTTTTTTTGATTTTTTTTTTACTTATTCACTCATATCTTGTCTCGGAGAAAATACAGGAGATTTGATGCTGTTAAACAGCTTTCTTCATAAGTATTTCATCTCTGTTTGGAAATTTTGAGTCATAAACAATGTAGGTTTGTTTGTTGTTTTTTTTTTTTTCCACTATTAAAATCTGTAATGTCGAAATTGAATGGAATATTTTTATAACATCTCAACTGGCTGAACTTGCTTTGGTAATTGTACTTTTTTTTTTTCTGTTAAACTCTAATCTGCTTTTTTCATAGCCTTGCTGCTTTCAATTTGGACAAAACTTTGTCATGTCATTGTAATGATGTCTCGAGAATTACGGAAGCCCATAACGCATAACAAAATGCTGTCTTTAGTGAAACTAAAATATCGAGAGGGAAACAGCCATTGTTGGTTGTGCTGGCATGGAGTTACAAGTCATTGTGACCAAGGATTTGATTGTATTGGCCTTTTGTTCAGACTTTTGATCAGCCCAGATAATGCACCCTCTCCCAGAAACTATAACTAAGGTCTGCTCAGCATCGTTGCAGTATAAAACCACAGGTCGGTTCTGTAGATGTTGAACAAATATGCCTGGATAGGCGTCTTCAACAGGGATTGAATAGCCACCCTACTATAGTCACATATGATTTTTTTTTGTGTGTGTGTGAGCGGGACAAAACACCAGATAACATTAAATAGTGTGTCAAAGTGCTCAATGGCAGAAGAAAAATAGCATCGCAGCAAAGGAACTTCAAATGTGATCAGCAAAAGTGTTCAACAATACAAGCCAAAGATTCCCATAGCATATATATATATATATATATATATATATATATATACACACACACACATACACACACACTACTACTAATACTACTACACACCTCTTATTTGTCAATCCTAATATTTTTTTAGATTTGACATAATTTATAAGCATTTGTTTTTAAATATTTGTGTGTCTGGGGAAAAACCCACTTGTAAATTATTTTTCTTCTCCTAAAACTGTTGCTGTTCCATTTTTGGGATAAGGCTATTGCAGTTTTAAACAACTTAAAGACCTGCTTCCTTGTAGCTGGGACTGTAATTAATGAAACTAGCAACTGCTTTTATTTAAAAAGCTTTATTGGTTCAACTTTATAGAAATGGAGTACCTCATAAGCTGTTGAAACTACCTTGTTAACTATTATTTCTACAAGTATCTTCATGAAAAAAAATGTTCAGTTTTTAAAATATCTTCTCTTCACTTGGCTTTATCTAAGGTAAAAATTTCAGGAAAGTTGTGTGTGTGTGTGTGTATATATATATATATATATATATATATATATATATATATATATATATATATATACACACACACAGGACTAAAAATTTGGACACTAAGGAGAAAAACACCGGGAATTCTTGCAAAAGTTAAAAAATCAGTGAAATTTATTTTTGAAACATTTTTTTTTTTTTTTTTTTTTTTTTTTTTTTTTTTTGAAACTCTTTGTAAAAAAAAAAAAATATTTAATTTTTATGGAATTTCACTAAATTCTTTTTTGTATTACTTAATGTTTATATTTGTTATAAGGACAAGTCTTTGGAGAATTTTAATAATTTTTTTTGTTAAACAGAACCCCCAGTTACAGAAAATTTACTCTAAATTGTAAAATAAAAAATGCAATAAAAGTAATTCATTTTTTTATAATTAGAAAAGCTTTTCATTGCTTTTATGAATAAAATATATTATGGACACTATTATCTTAAATTTGTTTTTTTAATTAGAATTTTTTAAATTGAGAATATTAAATTTAATCTATTAGCTCGGAATTTAAACTAAAATCTAAGAAAGATTTTTTTCTAAAATGCATTTTAAATTTAGGTATCACTTTTTTTTTTTTTTTTTGTCATGTACTTGTATTTAAATTGTGTACATTTAATCTATGAGTAGTGATTCAAATTTCTTGTTAGTGCGACATGATTTATGCTCTGTTATTACAAATTAGTCCCCAGTTGTCACATCCCAAATTTTGTACTGTACTGTTGATTGTTTTCTGTTATTTAATTAGCAGTTAGAAGATCAAATCTATCTAGAAGCCACAAAAATTATTATAACCTTATACCTGTATACAGTGTGTCATTTATCTAATAATTTATTTTTAAAAAAGTTCAATAGGAGTGAATTTTCAGAATCTTATTTGAAGCTATTACTTTTAATGAGTCCACTTGTTAAACAAAAACGAAAAAGTTCTTGAAAATCTCCAATCTTTTTTTTAAAAAAATTTTATTGAAAATTGGCAATTCTGAATACCTTGCTTTTAATATAATCTGATTTTGGAATAGTACCATTTAAGAATCTTTGAG